GTCGAACGCCAACCAAGTCATGCAAATTACATATATAAATGTTGCAAATAGCTGTATCACTAGGTGCTCAGCATTTATAGGTTAGTGTTACTGGTCGTCCTTGTGTCAGCATAATGTAACTGAGAGGGCACGCTATTTCATGTCTGCAGCATGATGCGCCAGTGCTAAACGTCATAATAAACTTTCACACTACAGACATCGTAGCAATATGACTGAACAAATGTTAAAGCCACGTTAAAAATCCAAATCGCATACACAGTTGGATGCATAATTATACCTTAAAATGCATAACACTTATGATGAATTATTCTTTCGTTGCGTCTAAGTTAGTGTCTTATATAAGTCAGATAGTAAAAAAATATAAAATGTTGGAAATTTATACTGAACTCAATAAGGGTATGGATGCCGACAGAATTTGAAATTAATCTGGCAGGTAATTATAAGAGAGATCAAGAATGCACAAGTCACATCTCGCTGTTCTTTTTAAACAGACCTCGTATTTTACATATTAAGTTTTCCAATTATAAGAATACAAATGAAACCTTTCAACAACTCTTGCTTGTTGACAATATTTCTGAATATAAAAATCTGGCACCTCTATTCATGGTGAAGTAAAGAAATCTCATAGACACTTATCAATACGGTAAAGAAAATTTAGAGTGCCTAATGATTAGAGAAGTAATGAGTGAAAATGTCTAAGCATGTGGATATGTATAGAAACCCCACTGCGAGTAATGCCATCCGATGAGTAGATTTTATACACTAACACTCTAATTCATTCAGTCAAGTGACACATCGTCAAAATAAGGATGATAAAGATCAACCGAAAGGGTATAAGTCAGTTTATGAAAACTAACCTGCCAGGTAAGTGAAAAGCAGTCCTCAGCTATTCAAAAAGAACCCCACCATAATTTTAGTTAGAAAGATGACTCATGTACATTATACTTCTGTTAGCCACAATTATTGTCACATTATTATTTTTAATTCATTCATCACCCCATTGACTATTCTAGATCTGCAAATAACTTCATTAGCTCCATTGTATATTATGACTGTTTTGGCCTTTAAATAGGGTCCATGTGATGCTACACAAAATCGGAAATTCGAAACCGATTTCACACTTCATAGTTTCTCACTGAAAAAGCACTGCATAAAATGTAATATGAACATGTTTTTGCTCTCAGAGAAAGGAAACAAAAATTTTGAAAGTATTTTATTTGTCTGATTTGCAAGAAAAAATCACTATTGTAACATAAAATGCTTGAATGCAATGTTCATTACATGCCCAAAAACTGGGGTACAGATAGTTCAGTTCTGTGTGTGTTTTAAGAGAATAACAACTGTCAAAAATCAAAACAAAGAGAAAATGAAAGTTTATTATATTAGTAATATTTTAGAAGTACTTGCTTGCAGTTAGTATGCCAACGTTTGGTCAGCGAGTAAAGGATGAATTAAATCTTTTGTAAAATTAAATTTTTATAATATGTAGAAATATTAATTATTTTATAAGATACTAAGATATCATTTGTTTTCAGATATTCTAAAGCATAATTTATTACTGCGTTTGCTCATTATCATTAATATATATTACTAGGTACATCTTAAGACCACATCTATCATAATTTTCAAAGCACGTGGAATAAAATATTCGAAGGGTTGTAGCGGAAAACTTGCAATGATGATTTTGGGTGTCTTTAATTTATGTTTTGTTTTGTCTTTCGTGTTTCATAAAATACTTAAAATCTTTACATATTTTGGAAACTGCAATTTTACACTGAATACATATTACATTATTATGTGTGGTTCAGGCGTTGGTTGATACTTGAACTGAAATTCGTACTTGTTACATATTTTGATATGTTATGATGTAATAAAAACTAAATATATAGCCATATATTCGTCAATACACAATAACCATATTAATGCGCACGTAGTACCACCCAGCGACCTTTGAAATTGGTTGCGCCCACAATAGTAGTTTTTTTTAAAAAAATTCATTTTGTTCTACTTAAACTTGAAATTTCGAATGAACTTTTAAATGAATAAGCATTGCTACATTGTTTTGAATCGGTTTGGAGTTTATGGATTTTGTTTATATGAAGTTCCAACTCAGTTCTGCTTTTCTGATTATGATGGACTATATTTGTTTGGTCAATTCAGCACAGATTTCAGTTGGAAATGTGTTAGAAAGAAATTCCAGTACAGAATCTGTGTACATCAGGTTTTGTAGGATATGTCATTCGGTTTTGAGAAACTAAGTTCATATTGAGGAAATTCAAGATGAATAAATGTGAGTATATTAGTTACCATTTTCATTACAAACTAAAGAAGACACATATTTATGTCCTGTTACTTACATCTTACTGTTGGATTATGCCAGCTATTACCTGTATCACACAGTGTGTATCTTCAATCGCTACTCTAAACTTTAACCAAAATAGTAACAAGGAGAAACTGCAAAGCACCTGTTATTTGACACACCATTTAGCCAGCAGAAATATTGTTTTTCCGTCGTCTTGTCATATTTGCTCTGAGGTGTTTAGTGTTGAACCAATACCTTCATTTGCTTTTTTCTCGAACTTATTATTTTGTCTCTGATCCATATGCAAAAGCATTTGACCTCAATATGCTTTTTTATAATATATTTTAATAGACGCTTGAGAACATTCGTCATAGTATGAACCAATCTAATTGATAAAATATACCAATATTTCTCCCAAATAACTGCTCCAATGATCAGAATGGTATTTTCAATTACTGCGGCTCTCACGTTTGTTGTTGAGACTGTAAACATAACTTTCATTTGTTTGCTTGCATGAAAGCTTCGTTCTAACTCATTGAACTGGTCCACATGGTCAAGTTTATCATCTACACTTTCAAATGGCCATATTCACAAACAAATTTAATCAACCACAACCTGAATCATTCATTACATGAATGTACATGGTTTGTTTACAAAGTAGTTCCTAATATACTGAACTATTTATAGCGACATGTTACTCATATGCATGCAATATCAAGGTGATCAATATGGTAAAATACAGCACAATTATGACAATGTAAAGTTAACGGAGACTAAAATGAGCATATAAGAAATGTGATCGAATACAGAAGTCCACGAATAATACAGTGATTATTGTCTTTATATTGTTGTAAAATACATGGGTTTGACCATACACTCTCCCAACCTTGACTGACTTTTGAACAAATTATCATAAAACATACTATTAGATGAAGGAAGTGTTACGTATATGTAATTAAATTGCTTGTGTGTTAGATTTAAAACTTTTGTCCGTTTAATTATTTTATTGTAATGATAAATTTTATTGGATTTAAGTTTCTTTCCTGAAAATTGGCATGATCCGATTAGATCTTAACATTATTTCAGCACTATTTTTAGCTCAGTTTTTGTAAACATTGAGTGATAAGGATTTACTATTTCCAAGGTCATTTATGTCCGCTTGATAGCTGGGCTGTCTCTCTTTATATATATATATATATATATATATATATATATATATATATATATATATATATATATATATATATATATATATATATATATATATATATATATAAATATATATATATATATATATATATATATATATATATATATATATATATATATATATATATATATATATATATATATATATATATATATATATATATAGCTCCATATTATTTTTATCGCGATGTTCAAATTTGTAAATCACGTAGCCAATCGATTGAAGTACCATGTAATCTAAAATCGCGGCTTTAAAGAGACGTTATCTGTTAGATTTAGTCAGTCGTTCTTAATACTTTAAGGGAACAAGGTGTCTCTATTGTTGTTATCAGATTGTTTGAAGTTCATCCGTTTCTATAAATTTAACAATTTATTCTCTAGAAAACTAATCAAGTGTACTTTTAATAAAAAGTTCTGGGACAAAGAAATTCAGTGAAAATTTATAATTTATTCTGGAGTTTGACGTCATTACCTCCATATTGGAATTTCATCAAGATTCGAACCCGGATTCAATTTGAACGGTTTAGTGATAAAACTTGTATTTTCAATCTTATGATTAAAGTTTGGATTATATTCACAAAGTGTAAGTCCTATTTCCTATTTTTGCATTGTTTTCTAGAGAAATAAATTAGTTTGTTAAAATATACAAAGCTTTTTGGGTTCAATCTTTTCTTGTTATTTTTGTACGAGCCTACACGTATCATATAGGGTGTATATCTTATACACCCTCCCACCAACATCACACACACACGCACGCACGCACGCGCATTTTTGGATACTACTAGGTACATTAAGCCACATTGATGCATTCTAGTAGGTATATGTTTTAAGGGCACTTCTGCCATAGTTTTCAAAATAGGTGGAATTAAACATTGCAGTGGAAAATCTGCACTGTTGCTTTGGTGTCCTTTATTTTGCTTTTGGTGTCTTTACTTTCGTCTTTTATAAAATAATTAAAATCTTTACATACCATAAAAGCTATTTTTTAAAATAAAAAATAACAAATTGAATACAACACAAGTTATGTTATTATGTCTGGTTCAGGCGTTGCTTGATACTTGAACTGAAATTCATCCCTGTTATATTTACGGCTCTGTTATGGGTCTCTGACAAATTTTTATTTTTCGTTCTCCCCCCGTTCGAAAACTCCCCTTTAAAAACTGCATTCCAGCGTTTACCTTCTGGTGTTATAAATGCTATATTTATGGACACTTTTCTATGGCTGTTCACATATGCTGTGCATTTGTGAGGTGACGTGATTATGAATTTAAACGTAGCTTTAACAAGTTTTGAGTCATATCGCCCCGATGTCTGAAGTGTGACAGTTCATAGTGATGTCTAGCATGGGGCATCATGACGCAGACATGTAGCATAATGTCGCACCCAGTCACATTATCCGGATAACATGCCGAATAGTCCTAATACTAACCTCTTAATGCTGAGCATCACGCAAGGCAGCTGTTAGTACCACTTTTGTAAGTCTTTGGTATGATTCGACTGGGGATCAAACCGACGACCTTCCGCATCCGAGGCGGACGCTCTAACTACTAGGCCACCGAAGAGGTTTGTAATTTCCTTAGTAAAGTTATGAACTCAATGAACATGAAGGTAAGCGCTCTCTTTTTCTTGGAACCACAGAGGAAAACTATTTTTAAAAATTTATTGTTAGCGGAATCAGCTGGCGTGATACGAGACCATATTTGGAAAACATTATTAACGGTTTAAAGATAATGCTTAAAATGCCTGAAATTTCCTAAATTGATATTTATTCCCATTATGATATTTCTACTTACCTGCTGTTGTATATCTGTCAAAATAGCTGTTAATGGTAACATGTGCCTTATCTAAAGTTATTGTGTGTATGTATTTGTGTGTGTTTTGTGATTTAGAATTGTAACGTAGGTTAAAAATTGGTCAGTCATTTCGCCACTACGTATGTAGTGTGGCAGTTTGTAGTGATGTCTAGCACAAGGTCATCATGCCGCGGACATGGTGCAGCATTTCCTACACAGACAAATTTTCCAGACACCAGGCCGACCAGTCTGACCTCTTAATACTGGGCGTCAAGCGAGGTAGTTGCTACTACCATTTTTATTAGTCTTTGGTATGACTCGACCGGGGATCGAATTAGCGAACTCCCGCATTCGCGGCGAACTCTCTAACGACTTAAGCCACGAAGTGGTGGCTTCCTTTTCAAAGATAAGCTGAATTTAATGCAAAGGAACTAAAATTTATGATATGTTTGAATTAAAATAGTAGCAAGATCATGGGTAAACTGTATAAACATCTTCACTTCTTAATTTAAAGACCGCCATGAACTAGCTTTCAACAGAATCTACAATGCAAAAGCATCTTGCTATCAAGTAGAACTCGAGAACAAAAATAAATATTAAAATGAAAACGTCGATCTTCATAAAGATTCAAAGCTTGGTTGCCGAGCCAAATTACCCCCTCCCAAAATCTTAATATTGTTTGGGTAAGTAATCCTGACCTTTTGAACTTGTAGAATAACGTTTGGTAGGTGCATTTAGCGTTGTTCATTTACTCCTTTGCCTCCTCCACAGATGTACATACGCACACATAGTGTATTTAAGATGAACTAAACAACTTAGGTGGAGTGATATATGAACACGCCTGATTTGGTTTATCTAATATGAAATGTTTCTTGCAAATTGTAATAACGGTAAGGGAGATCCTGAAGAAGCATTAGTCCTGCAAGATTTAGTTTGCTTGCTGCATTTTGGTAATATTTTTTCAAAACACCCGAATAAAGTTTTTATTTTCTTCAGCTCCGTGCTGCAATTCTTTAAGTTAAAGAATCATATAGTAAGAACTGTTGACGTCTTTATGTGATTTATAATTGAAAGTATATAAACGTCTCTCAGTACTCATGGACTTTTTCTAAGTGAGGGGCATAATATTGTTGTGATTTTAAAATGTATTTGTTTTAAAAATTTATTTTCTTTCATTACATTTTCTGGATGTTTCTTTGAGCCATTATGCAATAGTATCTAAACTATCAAATATTTGTCATATTTAATCTACCTACGGTCACATACATATAACCGTAAAATGAAAAACATCGTTATTGTCCTGGACAAAGCAAACATGTATAAATTCTTTTGCATGATCTTATTCAGCCATAATAAATTTCAAAATTCTAAATCTACTTAGCTCTGAGTACAATAGAGATAACTGTAACAGCTGTGGGAATGTTCAAGTAGACGAAATATCATCATCGTCATAATCATCATCATCATCTTATTATTATTATTATTATTAGTAGTAGTAGTAGTATTTTTATTATTATTATTATTATTATTATTATTATTATTATTAATTTTTATTATTATTATTTGTATTATTATTATTATTATTATTATTATTATTATTATTATTAGTTGTAGTAGTAGTAGTAGTATTAGTAGTAGTAGTAGTTGTTGTTATTATTGTTGCAGTTGTCATTATTGCATCGTATCGGTTCTTCTTATTTTGCTCTTTTAAAATAAGTTTTAGCAATCTTCACAAATTGTCACTATCTATGAGAATCAACACAAAACTAATATTTGAAGCGGAAAATTGAAGTAAGAGTTATAATTGATATTAAATATTTGTTTTGCATATAAATTTACATATGTTGAAACCACTGTGAATACGTGCAATGCTCTGTTCTTTTGAGCTTCTCAGAATTGTTATTCCCATTTTCATTGGTCTTTTTCCAAGATAGGTATCCTAATCCAATATCGTTTGCGTATCCTTGAAGGCATTGAAGTGCTTTAAAATCTCAAAAGCGATATACCAAAGGCATTTCTGAATGTGCTTGACGAAGCTCATAAATTGGTCACTACAAAGGTCTCATTAACTATCAACCAAGGGAATCCTTTTATAAAATGAAGTAACAAAAACAATGTAACAGTATGACCTTAAGATCACGAAGATATCCCTTTAGATGTTAACTCTTAGTACCTATTGATTCGTTGGTACAGACCATCTTTTTTTTTCAAACAGTGGCCTTAATAAAGGGATTTCACATCTGCACTAGTACCACATTAGCTTCCTTGATCAATCAGCAACTTATCTGGTGTCCACGTGGCTTAATTATATGTTTTAATAAATGTAAACAGCAATAAAATATGCAAAAAAAGAAGAAAGGGGAAAACGTATAAACAATGAAATGACAAACGTATTTGAATAAAATGTCACAAATAAAACAAAAGAAAGAATCGAATCCATATTAAATATGATTATTAAAGACTGGTTGAATTGATATCCATGACAGCACCCTCCAATATATATATATATATATATATATATATATATATATATATATATATATATATATATATATATATATATATATATATCCATTTGCTAATTTTAAATAAGAATTTCTAGGTGAAAAGGATAAACATTTTCATACTCGATTTCCTCTTCAACATTATAATAAAGATAACTTTATAGGGGCAAGGCACTCCTGAATAGAAAGATCTTTCAGGTTCTTTAAATCTTACATGTGTTCTCATAAAACCTTAACTTAGAGCATATTTCAAAGTATTTTTGACTCAGTTCATCCATTTGCAAGTGCTTAAATGTACAAAATATACTTATGTCTTGAAGAAGTCATGATAATTTAGGTTGTTTGTCATTTAATATCGAAATCCAGGAATCTGTCATTCGAGACTGGATAATAACATATATCCACTTCCTTCCTAACCTAAAGTAAGACATAGACAGGCGATTTGTTGAGAAATTTTGTAGTATTTCTTAAAATTCACTATGCAAGCTTTTAATTGTTTTGATTTTTTTCAAAAGATACTTAACAAATATACAGGAAAACAGACAAAATGGCATGATCAGAAAATTTAACAGCAAATCAATCGGCCGATTGATTTCTTCGATGCTTAAAATTCAGAGCATTGAAGTGCATTCATGTTAAATTTTATGACTGTTTAATCTTCAGTTCTCATAAAAATATTATATGTTGAATTCACAACAAAAGTCAATCGAGTTTTAAAGAAAATTAAATTAATGTTTGTTGTCATCTTGTGTTCCAAATAGTAAAGTTTTTGTTTTGTCAACTTTCCGTAGGTTTGAATGAATCACATTATTCTTCGCAAGATAACAGCATTATCGGCTTTATCAGTACTTTTGTCTGAAGATTCCAAGTGAATATCGGTTCAGTTTACCAGAGGCAAACTGCTAATTCACTTTTCGCTGGTATCTTTGAGTGCATTGCCATTATTATTTGCAACGTCATTCTTGAATGCACGTTACATGGCTGTGTTACTAATATTTATAGGTTACTGCATTTGTTTCGGAAAATATAAACAAATGTTTATGAAAAAATGCTTAGGACCTTGCGGAGTTCATATTTTTCCATTAGAAATGCAGTAACCTTTTTTATGCTCATTTAGTTTAATTACTTAAGGTTTAATAATAAAGACATTACAATAAACAATGTAATTGAATTATGGTTTGTTTCAAATTAAATTCAGAACCGTAGATTCCAAGCGAGGTTTCAACCTAGTCGCGCACTCAACATCAGTTTCAAAAAGAATTGTCGTTTATTTCTACTTAAAATTGAAATTTAGGGTAATATTATGAATAAATGCGCATAGATTTTCTTTCTATATTGATAAATATGTGTATAAATGTAGGTACACATAGTTTCATTCTTATTACCAGCTAAAGAAAATATGCATATGCCCTGTCACTTGCATTTCACTGTAGAAGGGGCTCTAGTTATGACCTGAAGTGAGTTTTCGATCACTAGCGTAACATTGTATCAAAATTGCTGGACGATAAATATTGAAAAATAGCTGTTGTGTGACACTCCATTTACCCAGTGGATATACAAATTTTTTCGTCATCTTGGATTATTGTCTCTGAGGCTTTTAGTTTCGTACCAAAACATTTTGTTGCATTTTTTTGTCTCGAATCTAGTAAAATTTTTTTACTAACTTGTAAAAGGGTACACATTTGGTAGATCTACGATAGCACTTGGCCTCAGTATGCATTTCAATGCTATATTTTTAGACCTCAAAGAACACTGATCATAGACTTAAAATTCTATCTGCGAAATGACACTAATGTTCTCTTAAGTAACTGTTTAAACACTGTTTTCAATTACTTCATATCTCACGTTTGTTGTTAACATTGCGACTATCACGTTCTTTCGTTCGCTTGTTTAAAAGTTTCGTAACTGACTCAGTGAAGTCATCCATATCGTTAACATTATCATCTATGCTTTAAAATTTACGAAACCGCTGCTTTAGTTATTGCACAACAAAATTTAATCAACCAACACCCAAAGCGTCTACGTACACGGTTTGTTTACAAATTAGTTTCTTACTCACCATTTTAACATTAGGAACATGTGTCGTACGCGTGCGTACAACCTGAAGGTATTCTGTATCGTAAAATACTGCACGAATCTGACAATGTAAAATGAACGGAGACAAAAATGAGCATATAATAATCATATAATATTATATGTTTGACTGAGGGTTTAGTTTTGGAATACCTGTCTATCCTAATGCAATCAATACCTGATTTTTATCAT